TATTAGTAAATGTAACGCTAGAGTAAGTTCAAAGAATAAAGGGTGTTTTGTTTTGAGTAAAAATATCTAGGTATGATATAGAAATGAAATCAATAGTTAAGATAAATAAAATAAAATAAAAAATTTGTGGGCGGGTTCTTGCGGGTGCGGGTTAAACCTGCAACCCCGCCCGCAACCCGCAAATATGCCATATTTCAAACCGCATCTGCTCACATTATGTTTGCAAAACTGTCCATTTGTATGCGGGTTGGGCTGTTTTTGCGAATCGGATAAACCGTTGCCCACTCCTAGCTGCCGAAGGTGGTGGTTGGGAATGGGGGTTAGGGTTAGGGTTTGGGTTTGGGTTTGGCATTACGGGTATAGTTGGTATTAAGGTGGGGGTTCAAAGAAAAAAATAGAGGGGTTTCATTTTGCTGGGTGAAGGTTCAAAGCAATAAAAGGCCAAAATAAAAATGTGGGGGCAAATAGCACCCCTTTTTTGCATTACCCACTCTCTATTTGGGAGAGTGTGTTACATCTTCAGTTATCTTTAACGGAAAAATTAATCATAATACTTTAGTTCGAAACTAGAAGAGAGTTCTTTGTTTATATTTGAATCATAAAGAAGTAAAGTAAATTTTGCCCTACTCAAAAAATAAAAAAAATTTTAAAAAATTCTAGAAATATTTTTATTTAAAATATAAAATAACAGGTGCAAAAAAAAAAAAAAAAAAAAAAAAAAGTAAATTTTTCCCTTTTTTTTTTTTTTTTTTTTAAAAAAAAGGATCACTTAGATGTCATATGTAAGTACACCCTCATTATGCCCCCCATAATTTTTTTTTAGAATAAATCACATTTTATTGTTTGGTTTTTTGGTTTTTTTTTTTTTTTCACTTTATCCTTTCATATTTTAAGTTTTTTCCAATTTACTTTTAAAATTAATTTTTGTTCAAAATTAGGTAGAAAATAACATATTAACTACCACATAACAATTATTGTTTGAATTTATGCTAGAAGTGTAAAGTATATATAATAAAATATTTTTATACCATATGACTGTTAATGTGTCATTTTTTGTCTAATTTTTTAGAGTAAATTAGAAAAAATTTAAAACATGAAGGGTCAAAATGAAAAAAATAAACTTTAAAAATCAAAGTAAGAAATAATGAATCATAAAGAGGGTAAAGTGTAACTTACCCAATTTTTTTATTGTCAAATTGAACTAACAGAGGATAATTATTAAGCAACTGACGAGTTGGCATATCTTTATTCCACCACCAGTGCTGTAAAGTTCACTTAGATGCAGATAACTAAAACCAATTAATAGACTGTATCAAAGTTTGTCTCCTTTAATAGTTTTTGTTACAGTTGAGATTTTGATGATTGAGAGTTCTCACTTTACAACCGATATAGTTTTTTCTTTTTTGGTCCTTTTTCTTTACCTCTTCAAGATGCAGATGCTCCTTTATGGCCTGCTTGTGTTGAGGTTCTGGTTTTGTTGTGTTTCATATCAATCTAATCTAACTTAAATGTTGATGTCTTGGAAGGCAGAGCTAGAAATTTATTTTAAGACAAATAAAAATAGCTTGAAATGAGAGGAATTTTCAGATGGATCATTCTTTGTCAAACTTGATGCCGATTCATGACATCCAAAGAAGACACACGACTGTAATTCTAGGATAAATAACATATTTGGTGTAACTTATTATAAATTAAAAAGTGATAATTAGAAAGTCGAAATCAAAAACATTTTTTTCTCAACTTCTAAATAATAAGATTTTTTCAATTTATTTAAGTTATTTCTGTCTAATAAACTGTAAAGATAAATTACACTAAACAGTCTAACAGACTCTTAGGGAAAAAGAAAAAGAAAAAAAAAAAAACTATATGTAGCTTAAATAAATTACATCAAATAACCCCAAGAAAGTAACTTCAAATTAAAATAAAACTCATATAATAACTTTAAAATGCTCAATACACTGCACTAACAAGTATATGAATTTCGATTCATTCAAAAATACTTGAACGGCACCATAAAAATTGAGAGAGTGATAGAGAATATATTAAAGTAGATTTTTCAGAAAAACCATTTATACAGACGACTTAATTAGAGGTTTTTCTTTTTTTCTTTTTTTATTTTATCCAAAAAGAAAAAAAGAAAAATGAGCTATACGATATATGAGAATTTAAAGACAAATTGGAAATGTTTATTACAACAACTAAAAATGTTATTTTGGTAAAATTGAGACGGGACACGCACTGCTTTGACTCTCAATTGACTTTACCACTACTTAGAACTAAAATGAACAAAATTACTCTTATGTGGCATTTGTTTGGATTGAAAATATTTTCTAATTTTTACTAAAAAATTTTCTCAGAAATATTTTCTAGAGTAAATATTTGTCTATGCACTACAAAAAAAAATCACTTTTGGCGACTAAATTTTTAGTCGCCAAAAGTCTGTTTTTAGTCGCCGAAAGTCAGTTTTTGACTTTTCCCGACAAAATTTTTTAGTCGCCACATTTGTCGCGTATTTCTGGTCGCGGAGGGTATTGGCGACTAAACTTTTTTTAGTCGCCAAAAAATAGGTGTTTACCGACTAAAAAATTAGTCGCCAATAGTGTTTTTCACTTTTGGAAATAATACATTTACCAACTAAAAATTTAGTCGCCAATAGTCACTAAATCGCCGACTAAACGGTTTAGTCGCCAAAATAAAGACTTTTGGCGACTAAAATTTTAGTCGCCAAAAGTCTTTATTTTGTTATGGTGTGTTTGGTTGGAGGATTTGGGGAGGGATTTGGAAAGGGAAAGGGAAAAGGTGTGTGAAACTATGTGAAATTTAGGCATGTTTTATTTATATTTCACCTAGCTTTTCCATTTCTTTTTTCAAATCCCTCCTTAAATCCCTCAACCAAACACAACATCAAAGAATAAGTTGATTTTTGACTTACAAAAAGCTATAAGTTGTATTGTTAAGTTGAACTAAACACATCAAAATAGCTTAAATTAAGCTAAAAGTTAAAATAAGATAGAAATAAGCTCTACCAAATAAGGTCATATATTACACCATTAGCAACTAAACATTTTTAGTCACCAATTAATTTTATAAAACCCTCCCAAATTTGAAATGTCTCCCTCCAAATATTTTAATTTTTTGGGGACGAAAATATCTTTTTGTCGCTAAAAAAGTTTTTGGCGACCAAAAACCATTCGGTGGCTAAATGGTTTTAGTAACAAAAACTCAATATATCACGACTAAAATATTTTTTTGTTGCTAAAAATATGTTTTTGGCGACCAAATTTTGGTCGCCAAAGATAAAAAATAATTTTTTATTTTATATTCGGCGGCTAAATTGTTTTAGTAGTCAAAACTCAATATACGGTGACTAAAATATTTTTTTGTCACGAATTCTTTTATTTTTAGCCACCAAATTTTTTTAGTCGCCAATAATCAATATAGCCCCACTAAAAAAAATTAGTAGCTAAATATTGTATTTTTGCCAATTAAAAAAAATTTTGGTTGCCAATTTCATAATTTTTGATGACTAAATTTTTTTTAATCGCCAATTTTGATAGCCAAATGTATATTTTGTTGTAGTGAGAAATAATAATTGTGTTGATGATGGAGGGCTAATGTAATGGAGATAAAAAAGGAGTGACCACTAATGTAATGACGGTGGTTATTGTTTCAGTGGAATGATATTGGTGGTTATAGCAACTGTGGTAATGATTGTGAAGGCTGAGGGTTATAGTAGTTGTTGTAGGGGGGAACGGATCGTCGGTCGCCCTTCCCTGTCGCTTTTTCCTGTCGCCCCCAAAACGACGTCGTTTTGGGGGCGACAGGAAAAAGCGACAGGGAAGGGCGACCGACGATCCGTTCCCCCCTACAACAACTACTATAACCCTCAGCCTTCACAATCATTACCACAGTTGCTATAACCACCAATATCATTCCACTGAAACAATAACCACCGTCATTACATTAGTGGTCACTCCTTTTTTATCTCCATTACATTAGCCCTCCATCATCAACACAATTATTATTTCTCACTACAACAAAATATACATTTGGCTATCAAAATTGGCGATTAAAAAAAATTTAGTCATCAAAAATTATGAAATTGGCAACCAAAATTTTTTTTAATTGGCAAAAATACAATATTTAGCTACTAATTTTTTTTAGTGGGGCTATATTGATTATTGGCGACTAAAAAAATTTGGTGGCTAAAAATAAAAGAATTCGTGACAAAAAAATATTTTAGTCACCGTATATTGAGTTTTGACTACTAAAACAATTTAGCCGCCGAATATAAAATAAAAAATTATTTTTTATCTTTGGCGACCAAAATTTGGTCGCCAAAAACATATTTTTAGCAACAAAAAAATATTTTAGTCGTGATATATTGAGTTTTTGTTACTAAAACCATTTAGCCACCGAATGGTTTTTGGTCGCCAAAAACTTTTTTAGCGACAAAAAGATATTTTCGTCCCCAAAAAATTAAAATATTTGGAGGGAGACATTTCAAATTTGGGAGGGTTTTATAAAATTAATTGGTGACTAAAAATGTTTAGTTGCTAATGGTGTAATATATGACCTTATTTGGTAGAGCTTATTTCTATCTTATTTTAACTTTTAGCTTAATTTAAGCTATTTTGATGTGTTTAGTTCAACTTAACAATACAACTTATAGCTTTTTGTAAGTCAAAAATCAACTTATTCTTTGATGTTGTGTTTGGTTGAGGGATTTAAGGAGGGATTTGAAAAAAGAAATGGAAAAGCTAGGTGAAATATAAATAAAACATGCCTAAATTTCACATAGTTTCACACACCTTTTCCCTTTCCCTTTCCAAATCCCTCCCCAAATCCTCCAACTAAACACACCATGAGTGGGGGAGGAGAAATTTAATTTATACGTCAAAAATCAACTTATATTCACAATTATAAGCTATAAATTATTAAGTTATAAGTCATAATCACTTTCCCACAACTCTAGCGGCTGTGTCTCTCTCTTCTGCATCTCTCTCTCTTTCTCCCCCCTCTGACTCTCCCTCTCCACTGCTCCTCTCCCCTCCCTCGCGGTCACCGGCAACTGGAGCACCAATTAACCTCGTTGTTGGTCACTGTCGCCTGAGATCCATCACCCATGGAAGCTCGATCAGAGGCTCCTTCCTTGCAACTCCTCGCATTGCAAGGTTTTATCTTCCTCTCTCTAATCGATTTATATATATATATATATATAATAATCTCTACACTAATTGTGAGATCAATTATTGTTGCTTAAACATATCAATCTGATCCATTGTTGGTTTTAATTTCTTTGAGAATCGTTTGAGAGGAAGAAAAAAAATGGCGTTGGCAAATAGGGAAATCTTGGTGTATTGCTTTGACACCCTGGTTGCTCACTACCCCTGCTTTCGATGACGACCAACAGTACGCTATCTCTCAAGGTCTTTGTTTTCTGCAAAATTAGGAAAATGGTGGTGATTCGTTAGCTTGTTGATTGTTGTGGTTGAATTGGTTGCTCAAATTTTGACTTTTAATGATCATAGTGCTATAATGAGTTCTGTAATTATAGTCAGCGTCTTACTTTTCAATAATAGAACTCAGATTCTTACTTGACATTGAAACATGAATATAGTGTCAACTGAATTCTTGCCTATTGTCTATAATTATAGTCAAGTGTGGTTATTGTTAGATTGCCTTTTCAACTTTCCAAAGCCATCCAAGATATTTATTCAGATTACCTATTACATGTTTGTTTATATGCCAAGCTCAAGTTAAAGTTCTCCCTGAAACTACCTACTCAAACTTCCCATAGATCTAATTTTTGACAAATTTGATACCAAGTCATAAGGCACCTCAACTCTGTTGTAATTGATCCATAAAGCCACTCTAACTTTAATCAACTTCCTAATGTTCTATTTGGTTCATGGGAATGAATAAACAAATATTTATTTCATTATAGTGAACCAAAGGCTACCTAATTTCTTTGAAATTTGTTTGGCGACCATTGAAAAGGCAATTATTGCTTAACTTCCACACACTCCACATCAAGGCAAAAGGAATAGGATTCCACATTCTCAGTTATTAGGGATTACCCATTGGATTTCCCACCAATTAGAGCACTAACAAAAATTCTTAGGCCTAAGGCGATAGAATTAAGTGGTCTAATGTTAGGCGACCTCTGAGTGAGAAGCAAAAAATTAATGTGGTTATTTGTGATCCTATCATTTTTCATCATGGTAATATTTGTAATCTTTTTGTTTTGAGTCAAAACATAGATCATTGTAGCTTGTAATTATAAAAACACAATTGTTATGTCATTCTAAATGAGTTATATATATAAAAATTATATTTATTTAGATATTGTTTGGAATAAATCCCACCCAAGCTATGGAAGCAAATAAAATAAAAATAGAATGGTCACAAGAAAAATAGAAAACACAAGATTTTACGTGATTTGGCTCATATGTCTACATCCACGGTGAGTGAGAAGCAATCCACTAATAATAGAACAATTACAATGGTGAAACAAACACAACTCCTTGATATTTTCTCACACCCCACAATGCTAGCAAATATATGTGACCTTAATTTTATAATTTTATATTATAGGCTGTGAAATTTGGAGGCATGGAACAACCTATTTTGACAAGGAAATTCATTAGGAAACCAATGAACTAATGAAGGTCAGTTTAAGGCTCCTCTCCAATTATGATTTCTGGATCCACCACTTTGCATAAAGACTAGTTGTGATGTGATCCTTCGCATATGAACACTCTAATAACCAATTAACCTATCTTTATGTAGTTTATAATCATTAGTAATGTCTACTAACAGAAACATCTTTAATTGTTGGAAGAATAGTAAACCAGTTGCAACCTTGAATAGAAAGTACTCTGCAGCGACATGCCAAAATCCTATTACATTCACTTTAATCAATTTCTGATTTTATATTTTAGTATACAGTTTATTCAAAGGAAATATGGAAAATGTTGTCAAACCCACCACAAATCAGTTTGGCTCAACAGTATGAGAACTTTAATTAAGTTAAGGTCCCAGAGCACTGTATTTGAAATATTACTTAACTTGTATGTTTGAAATATTGACACTATTTTCTGGATACAATAAATTTCTCTTTGAAAACTTTGTTGCAAATTTAACATGCTTTCTTCTTCGTCATCCTGAGATGCCAAGATGGGGCTTAATTGTTTCTTGTCTGTTATATTTATGGAGAGTTCAAACTAGATGATGCATGTAGTACTGTTTGTGATTAGAAGTAAGTAATAGAGTCCTTGGCACCAATTAACTTTCAGTAGGTAGGCCAGCAGAAAATAGATACCAGCTAGGGAAAAAAGGTTTGTTCTTGCTCATTCTAATTTGTGTTGCTATAGTGATACTGTAACTGAAACACTTTTTTCTATAGCTAGTATGCATTATAAGTTTGTACTCAGAATAAAACATTTAAAAGTATGTATGTTTTCACCTGTAATATATTTTCTCTTACAATTACTATTAAAAATTTAACAGGAACATTTTGTTGGAAACAAGAGAGATAATGGTTATTTCTGTTTAATTTTGCTTATGAGTTGTGCATAGTTGTTTAAGCATTTAATTTATGTGAATGACCTACAAAAGGAAATACGTTACCCTCTACTATGTGAATGAACTAGTCCAAGTGTCATTTCTTCAATGAGGTACTAATATGTTCGACTTCCTGTAGGTTTGAGCTTCACTGAAGCTGAGAGAAGATTGAAGGAAAATGGCCCGATATTCCTCTAGAATATACTTTTCCAAGTTGGTGGCATCTTCTATGGAGTGCCTTTTTTCACCCTTTCAATATTATTTTGATTGTATTGTCAGCCCTCTCGTACTTAGCTAGTGACAGTCCCAATGGATGCATCATGCTCGTGTTGGTCTTCATAAGCGTCTCTCTCCGATTTTACTAGGTATATTTTTCCTTTAGTTATTCCAATCAGAATGATCCTATACATATTCATTTCTCAGGCATTTAATTATTGTATTCTCCATCTAACAATCTTACTAAAAATACAAGACGGCAAATGTAATTGGTTGTCAAAAAAGCATTGACATTTAAACATCCAATGATGTTCGGACATGTATGTTTTTAGTAAGATTGTTAGTAAGATTTTAAGCAGATGTAGCATTACTCTATGCAAAGTAAGGATTTCAGAATGTTAGTAAAGGATAAAAAGATTAAAGAAATATTTAAAAGTTATTTTATAAATTTATTGAATGAAAAATATTTAGAAAACTTAACAAGAGAGGAATTTGGTAACCTTTATGGAGTTAGAGAATACAAGTTTGAAAAGTCTAGAAATCCCCTAGATATTGATTTGTGATTATGTATCAATTTTAACGAGTAAATAGCAATCCCAATCAAACAATCAAAGACAAATCGACACAACGATTTAATGTGGAGAAACAACAATTGGAGCGTCTCTAATTGTGATAAAAAAAATCACGGGCAAAAGTCACAAAACAATCCACTAAGAAGACATAAAGGAATTACACAAGTGTACTCTCAATTATGTAGCGAGCCCATGCCCAAATCGAACCGACCCCTATGTGCCTCTTCTAGACCCGTCTTCACCTCGGAATTGTCTTGCCCAACGTTGAATCCACAACGCCGATGTCGAATCCACGACGATGAGCCACTCTGGAATCCATCAAAGCTTTAGACCCAAATTCCATGGAATCCACCGAAGAATAACTCTCTCTTTTGTATTGAACGAAACAAACAATCCTTTGATGTATACTTTTCAAACCAGGTTTAAACTCAAATAAACATCAAAGAAAAACTAGCAAAGAAGCTCTACATATAAACCCTAATATCCAAGAAAAAGATCTGGAAGCCGTAACCCTAAAAACGGATGAAACCACATATTTATAGAAAACTGATTCACGATATTCACTCAGTGCAGGAATGGCCGCTCGAGCGCAGGAAAGTTCGCTTGAGCGTAAAATCCCAACTTCCAGTACTTTTGCAGGTAGGTCAAACTTCTGGAACCAAGGATTCTCCGTTCGAGCGCACAAATGGCCGCTCGAGCGGACAAGCAACTTCGACTGCAATTTTGCTTCTGGCTTCGGGGCGTTGCCCCTCGACCCCGCCTAGGCGCTGCCCTCTCGACCCTCGCGAGCTAATCGGGCAGCTCAATCCCCAACATAGTCAACGAAGTGGGAAACATGAAAGAATAAACTTCTAAAACATCTCTGCAAGGCGCAATTCGGGTTGGATTCGCATCTAAAACTCATAGTCACACTGAAATAAGAGATCGAATACAATTACAACTGAAAGGAGTTTTGTCAAAAGGGATTGCCAAGAATAAAACCTAACAATCTCCCCCTTTGGCAATGTCGTGACGCAACACACCTAGCAAATAAAATCCTAATCACCGCAACCCATTACAGCCAACAAAAACCAACTTCTTTCTCAAGGTCATGATCTGCAAAACAGCTATTAGTGCCACAATCTCCAAAACAACTATTAGTGCCATAAGAGTATATGAAAAAGCAATATACATATGTCAAGATTATCTTGAGGCATGAGATGGAAATATAAATAGATATAAATTGGAGATTTTAAGAACATGTAGCATGAAAACATGAAAACTAAGACACATGGACCCGACACATGACATGAATACATGAAATCCTAAGACACATGCACCCAACAACATTTCTTCCCCTTTTTGTCACGAATTGACAAAGAAAGCTCAAACAACGAAAGCAAGATAAAAAAACCAGACAGGTAGGGACATGATGATGGAAAAATTAATAACCTGCAAGAAATAAGCAATAAACAAGTAGTGGATAGCAAAACACAAATCAACTAACGCCAAACTCCCTTACCAAACCAATCAAAAATGAACCAAACTCCCTCTCACTAAAAGCAATCACAAACATTGAAAACATTGAACAAGAAGAAAACAAAAAAAAAAACAAAAAAAAAAACAAAATATGGTGAAGCAAGTAAGGAATTTCAGATTTGTATCTTAAAAACACGCAAGATTATCCAAGAAATACAATTACTTAAAAACACAATATGCACAACCTATAGAAGATTTCTCATGAAAGAAATTGATACATTATGTGAAAAGCATAGATCCAATGATAAAAGTGTGTGTGTGACTGTTGGAGTTCGAAAAAACACAAGATTCAAATCCTAGTAGTGATCTGATAGATGGACCTTCGTCAAGAGAATCTAGGCCCAACTAAGGAAATTCAAACCATTAGGAATCAAGGGGTATTTGGTGAGTAAAAACAGAGGCTCCCCCTCAATCAATGAATCTTTTTTTTTTCTTTTGCATTTTTTTTTCCTTTTCTTTCTTTTACACATTTTTTTTCTTTCTTTTGCACACTCATTGGCGGCTGACACGCTTAAGAGTATGGAAACCGAACTAGAGAAGCATGGAGACAATAAGGATAGCCTGGTTGGTGACTCTGATACAGCTTTTTCCTCATGCCTTAACTGAAAAGAATTGAGGGGAAAGTCATGGAGATGCAAAAAGATGGAAGATGGTTAAGAGACTCAACATCACCCATGATGTGCTAGTATAGGTCAATTCTTGTAGAAAAGCAAAAGACACATTACTAGAAGTCCATAGAGAAAATTGATCACAAAGGCAGAAGATTCCAATTTTTGCTAATCCAAGAATGTGCACAGAATGAGACATACTAATCAAAGTACACACACTCCAATATGAGCAATGACCACAGAAAACACACACATATTAACATGTAATGGATATTCTCATCAATTCCAATATGTACCAAGGACTTCTCAAAAATTTCAAACTTGCAAAACCATACTAAGAAAATCTTTTTGATTTTTTTTTTTTCAAAAAACAAAACAAGACAGAAAACGAACAAGTACACATTAAATGACTCAAAAAGAAAAAACACACAGAAACCCAAAAACTAAAACGAATAAACAAATTAACACAAGTCAGGTTTTCTCACACAAACCACTTTAGCATGAACAAAGGTGTGAGAATTGCAGTTCTTGAATAGTGTCTTGACGTTGTGGTTCCCTTCATCTTCATTGGGAACCCGTCTTGACGTGGTGTCCAACTTCCTATTCCTACGTCTAGACAAACAAAGCCTCTGTTCATGTTTGGTCTCAAGAAAATCAAAATAACGATGTCTAATATGACCCTTAATTCCATTACCACCAATGAAGTGGCTTCTACCCCACGAGATATTGGAATTTCTTTAATCTCTATAAGACATTCTCCCATGTAACTCATAACAATGAGGGCGAATATGACCATACATACCACAATGATGACAAATAAAAATAGGGTGTACCTTCTTTTCTTTGACCTTACCAACTCTAGGAAAATTGAGAAGTCTTTCCTCTTGTTGAATCTTTTGCTCCCCCTGCCCTTGAGTTCTTGTATCATGAGATGTGGATGCACACCGTTTTTGCTTTTTATTATCACTAAAGCCAATGCCACTCTTGTCATAACACATTTGTTGAGTCCCAATTATATTGTCCAAAGCCTTTGATCCTTTGTTCAAAAGACCAATGGTAGCCATATACGTTGCATAGATTTGTTGTAGCTCATTCCTCTCTGTCTCACAAGTCAAGAGTTTTGCATAAAGAGCTTGTCGATCATTAGATATCTTGACAGCATCATTCCTAGCCTCAGAAATTTCCTCATTTAGTTTGACATTCTCACTTTGACATACTTTTAGTTTCATAGTAAGTTTGTCATTCAATTTGGATAAGTTAAGAGATTCCTTATACAACTTTTCATAAGCTTGCTGAAGCTCTTCATCATCACTCATTGAGGATTCATCATCAGTGTCATTCTCAGCAGGCCTCTTTGGATACTCTATTTGTTCTTCAGTTTCGGAAGCCACCATGAAAGCAAGGAATTTTTCATGCCCCTCTTCGCCTTGTGCTTCATTGTCACTTTCATCTTTATCAGACTCTGATTCATCATCCCAAGTGATAGCGAAAGCTTTCTCCTTCCTCAAACGAGTAGGGCATTCTTGAGCAAAGTGGCCAAATCCTTGGCATTCATAGCATTAGACTTTTTCAGAGTTCCCTTGTATTTTTCCTTTCTTCTTCTGTGTTATAGAATTAATTTTGAATTTATCTTTGCCTTTGGATTTATGAGTTGATTCCAAAAGATTAGGATTCTTTTTCAGAAAAAACTTTTTAAATTGTTTTACAAAAGCATCCGTAATCTTGGAATCAATCTCACAATCCTCATCAGAATCCTTTCCAATTGTATAAGCACTACTAAAAGTAATATCATCTTTTTGTTTCATTTTGAAATTTCTATGTGCCTTATAAGTTTGAAGATTTCCAACCAAATGATCCAGCTTGAGGTTGTCAACATCTTGAGCCTCCTTAATCGCCGTAACTTTTGGTTGGAACTGATCGGGCAAGGATCTCAAAATTTTTCCCATAACCTTGGATTCTGGTATTTTTTCACCTAAATTGAAGCTGGAATTTACAATGTCACTCAATTTCGCATAAAATTAATCAAAGGTCTCACTATTTTTCATTGAAAGGTTTTCGAAACTAGACGTGAGCCTTTGAAGTTTTGAGCGTTTAACAGAATGAGTGCCCTCATAAATGGTTTGTAAGATATTCTAAGCCTCTTTTGTGATTTCACAATTGCAAATACGACTAAACTCTTCAGGTGTGACAGAGTAAAAGGGAGAATTGATAGCTTTACTATTCCAGCTACTATTTTGGTAATCAATTGTGTCCCACTTATCAATTGGTTTGGGGAAAGTTACTCCATCAATTGTAATCGTCGGTTCGGTCTACCCATACATAATAGATTGCCAAACTTTTTCATTAATAGATTTTAAAAATGATCTCACCTAAGCTTTCCAAAAAGAATAATTAGATCCATCAAGTAGGGGTGATTGAACTATATAATTTCCCTCACGAATTGAATCCATTATCACAAATCAAACAAGATCTCACTCCAAAACTTTTTTTTTAAAAAATAGAGCGACCTGCTTTGATACAAATTGAAAAATCTAGAAATCCCCTAGATATTGATTTGTGATTATGTATCAATTTTAACGAGTAAATAGTAATCCCAATCAAATAATCAAAGACAAATTGACATAACGATTTAAAGTGGAGAAACCACAATTAGAGCACCTCCAATTGTGATAAAGACCACGAGAAAAAGCCACAAAACAATCCAC